TGGAGGCTCGCGCTGGTTCCTCGTCCTGGTGTAGGCCCGTCTTCTGGCAGCCAGTGGAACTGTTGCTTTCGCGTAAGACTTCCAGTTGGGGGCGGCCTCAGCAAAATTCGCTCCGCGCGGCTGTGTCCAGGACCTCATGGCCTCAAGAGAGGTTGTTCCGGCACGGCTTTGCATATTTGAATCTCTGCACCCTGTGCCGAGGGGCCCCCGGCACGGCGTTGCATCGTAGGTTTGTGTGTGTGACGCGTGGAACGCTGACAGATGTCTCTTCCTATCAGATGAGGCCCTGGCTGCTGCCAGGCGCGCGCGTGCGCTCGGCGACTCTGGTGAATTCTTTGCCTCGGGATTGTTCCCCAGCCCTCGCGAGCTTGTTCCACTCCCGCCCCCGTCTGAGCAGCGCAGTGTTTCCTGGGTCCGCAGGCCGCCCGACGGCGTGCTGAGGGGGGAGCTTTTTACCGATGGCTCGGCCTTCTTCCCCTCGGATCCCCTCCTCCGTCGGGCCGGCTGGCCCATTGTCATGGTGGGCGATGCTGGGTCGATGTTGGCTGGCGCCTTCGGCCCAGTTCCCGTTGTTTACGCGCCTCTCCAGTTCGCCAGTGATGGAAAGGACTACGCCTATCTCATGCTGCGTAGTCTGGCTGACACCCTTGATATCGAAGGGGTCTGGACCGATTGTGCCAGCGCGATCTCTGCGGCTCGGTCGGGAGTGTCCTCGACGTCGGCCAAATGCACGCAGGCTCATTCGTGGCCCCGTTTTCGCGCGGCCTTCGAAGCAGGCTTGGAGGCGCACAAAACGAAGGCCCACACTAGCGAAGCTGATGTGGCTCGGGGGGTGACCACGCGGTGGGAGAGGAAGGCGAATGGCATCGCGGATGCCCTGGCCAAGCGGGGAGCGGCTGTTCTCCCGTCGGTGGTTGAGGCCGCCCGCGATGTCGCTGGGCTGCGCTATCTGGCTCGTGAGATCGGACAGCGGATTGGGCGCCAGGGGGTTCTAATGGCTGAGAGGGGGCGGAATGACGCGGACGGCCTGCCCGAGAAAGGCCCCCCGGGTCTTCGTCGCGCGGCCCCCCGTCCCCTCAGGCCTTCCCCGCCCGCCTCCGTTCCGTTCCGAGCCGTGCTCTCAGCCGTGGCGGATGGGCCTTCGGATTCCGAGCTTGCCATTCTGGTCCAGCTGTCTCAGCGCGACTTCCGTGTCTGCAGAGTTTTTGATGCAGATGGGGCCTCTGCCCTGGCGGCCCCCAGGATGATCTGCCGCGTGTCGCGCGGTGCTTACGCGCGGGGAGGTGCGAGAGAGCTCGCCGGCCGTTGCCGCGGGCATTCGGCGGGCAAGGGGCTCAGGCAGCAGAGGTCCCGTCTCATCGCCCGTCTTTTCCCCAGGCGGCTCGCCAGACACGAGGGGTGAGGCCTGGGGGAACTGGGGGCCCCCGCCCCCTCGGACCTTTTAGACCTCGCTCGCGCGATGCTGGGTCGGCCCCGCGCCCCAGCCGTCGCGGCCTCCAGGTGCGTTTTCCCCGGGGGCCCACCGCGGGCGGCGCCTCTCACCAGGGGCCAACTGCTGGCAAAGCACGGGCTGGACGTTCAGGCCCGCCCCCACTACAGGCCCCAGGCCGCGGAGTTCCGCGAGGCGGGGCAGGCGGAAGGGGGGGGGGCAGCAGCAGCAGGATGAGTTGGAGGGATTGCTCCCATCATCCTAATTCGTTCGCTTTTATCTCTGGGCGTCTCGACATTGACGTGTCGCCCGCTCCTTATTTCATTTCATTTCATTGCAACTGCCCCGCAAGCCTGCGCGGGGGCGACGGCCCATCGGCGTCTCTACATCCCTCGAAAGGATCCACGGACGAACCCTGGCCAACGCAGCCAAGTTGTGGGAGAGGAGACTGGGCAGCCTGCCGCAGTTTCCTGTAGCGGCAGGGCGCGGGCCCCTGGGCGCCGTCTGGAGACAGAGCGCAGGGGGGGCCCTCTCCCAGGAAGGATGCCACCTCCTCAGTGTGCTCTGGGATACAAGCAATTCTACGAGCGCAGCAGGCGCGTCAAGCTGTGGCAGAAAGCAATGCTCATATACTATCCACTGGTCAGCTTGCGGTGTACTCTTTATGAGCTACCGATGGCTTCGGATAGTTGCCATGGATGGACTTGCGTCGTAACTGGCATATTCCACCGGGGGGGATCGCAGGCGCGCCCACCGCCGCCTACGAGGTCAAGTGATACTTCGCACCTGGAGCTCCTGAATTGGCGGCAACACTGAACTGCTGCAAGACGGACATCACCATTCACATAGATGATTTCGCCCTGAACGGAGATGAGCTGAGCTTGTACACGCGAATGGCCAACATGACAGAGACAACACTTACTCCAGCAAACCTGGTTACGCAAGAACTTGGAGTACCCCCAGCTTGCACCACATTCCCGGTCACCGGCGCATCATCTGCATTCGTGGGAGCTGCCTGGGCCGTTCTGGGTGTTCTTGCAGGCGTTCCGGAGGATTTCCCGAAGCCGCCCAGGAGGTAGGAGGGCCAGGGGGGGAAGGCTGCGTCCCTGGCGCCGAGAATCCGAATGCTCAAAGCCATCGAGGGGCAAGCTTTCAAGAAAGCCTAGGTGTTCCTCTCGGGGCCGCAGTGCGCGGCGACGCATGGGGGCGAGGTCAGTGGCTACACTCCCAGTGAGAAAGCCTACCTGCGCCAGCTGGCGGCTAGAGCATTGGGAATCCCAAAGTCAGGATCCAGGGAGTTCGGCCTCAGGTTTCACCCAACCCGAGACCCCTTGCGCGTGGCTTCCAGTGCGCTTAGAAAGGTTATGCAAGGGGTGGTGGCAAGCAACTGACGAGGACCTCGTGCAAGAGGAAGGGTTGTCTGTTGGAGAGTTGACGATGGGCTGCAGAGTTGCTCTGAAGTCTCTGGAACGACAGCCTGTTCGAACCTCTTGCTGCAGCGGTCTATGGGGCCGCTTGCTGATCTGCATCTGTGGTTATGGGAGGCAGGGTGGGGATCGGATAGGCCGGGGGGGGGCATGATCAGCAGAACTTGCGCCTAGTATTCTTTGTCCCACGATGGCCCAGGCACGATCGGAGCTGCATGTGACCGCGATCTCAGAGAAGTGCGCGCGCGGGACTTGGCAATGCGATTTGAGCACAGCGCGAATGAGCGAGCACATCGCATGGTTGACAGGGGTCTTTGGAGCGCACCAGCGCGACGCGCACTGGGGGGTAAAAACTTGCCCGAGAGCCGAAAGCACACATTGATACATGTGTTCTGCGACGGGTATACCGCAGCCGAGGGCCCCCAGAAATGGGGGTGCGATTGTGGCGGGGCGCGCGTGTTTTGTGGGGGGCGGGATGCCACCTTCCATCGAGCGTGGGCCTGCCCCAAGTATGAACCTGGGCGCGAAACGTTAGATCCTGAGATTCTGCAAGTGGCCACGGCCCTCGGCGACCGGGGCCCATTGTTCGCGAACCTATGGATGTCCCCGCCTGACATCAAGGACAGACTTGTGGAGGATGCGCGCGTCAAATACTTTACCCCGCAGGGCGAAGGCGAACCCTTCGAATTTCCAGATGGGGGGGGCGCATCTTTCCAGATGAAGTTGCTCTCACGGGGAGAAGGAAGAGCTGGCGAGGGCAGCATGGATGCGGCGCAAGTAAACGACGAAGGAGAATTGCTTTGGTGGATTACAGGGACAGCTGAGGAACTGGCGCATAATGCTACGGCGGCGGAGCACTTCGGGATGATGGCCTCCAATGGACACTGCAGATTGCTTACTGAGACTACCGTTCAAAATGTTGACTGCCAGGCCTTAGTAGATGGGGTTGCCGGCCCGACTAGGGGTAAGAGCCACGCGAACGCGAACGCTGCGTTCTGGAGGCTCACAGGACCACTGCGAGTGGTAATGAATAGTGTCAAGGCTCACCTGACAGAGTCTGACGCTTCGTCGCCACAGGATCTCCCGATGCTCCGAGGTAGCGCCCACGCTGATGCAAAGGCGAAGGAGGCGGCGCTCGAAAATAATGAGTCAGGACGCGACGAAACAGAGTACGAGGAATGCGCGAAGCTGTTCAAGAGTGTTTCTAAAGCGATTTTTGAAATCTTCGACTGTTGGCCGCCAGTGAAAGAGCTGTACGGTACCTTTGGGAAGGTGCCCCGCCCCCCGCCCCCGCCCCCGCGTGCCACCCGACCGCGCGCCGCGGTGTGGGCCCGAGGAGAGTGGCACTGTGTCGCATGCCGCCGAAAAGGGGAGGCAACTCTTATTCAAAACGGCGTGCCGAGCCTTGTCGGGGAGCATGCAGGATGTGCTTAAGGCGGCACGCGCGCCAGGATATGCACACAAACTCTGGACAGCCAGTGTGCAGAACACTGGCTGTCCATCTTTTGTATGAAATGCGGGGCATTGGCGGCCAACCGAGCCGTGCGCCTCCGCGAACCGATATGCCACCCAGACCCTAAGAACAAGGACTTGGGCAATTTAACGCGGAGTGTTTTACCATGATGAGGAGAGCAGCAGCTGGGACGGCTTTGGCCCCTTCGCTCCCTCATCCGACCCCGCAGGCGAGCCTCACTTGCCCCCCCCCGACCTCCCGGGTTGTAAAGCAGTTGGCCGATCTCGAGGCCATGCGCCTTGGGAGGGTTGAAGGCGAGGGATCGAAAAGGTGAGGTGTCACGGTTTCCGCCGGCGGCCTGTCGCAGTTTCCGCCGGCGGCTTGTCACGGTTTCCGCTGGCGGTCGTTTTGATATGTCTTCAGTTCGTCCGTACTGCGTGACCGTTCTTGTTGGTTTCTTTTTCATTCTTGGACGGTGAGGGGCTGGCCTACCTGGGCCTCCCTCCCCCCACGCGGCGTAAAGGGCGTAAAAGGAGAAGGAGGTGGAGGAGGAGCAGGAGGGAGAGGAGGAGGAGGAGGCGGAGGAGGAGGGCATCATCCCCTCCCTCGCTCCCTCTCCTCGTCCCCCGTCCCTCACTTCCCGCCCCCCCCCCCCGTCGAGCCTCGAGTACCCCCCCGTGGGCCCATGCAGGCGCTTTGACAGGTGCCTGGAGCAGGACGAGCTGCTGCCCCTCCTGAGCGCCAGCCCAGGCCCGTCTCCCCCCTTGGCCGTGGCCGCCGTCCCCCTCGCGGGAGGGCGAACCCTGAGGTCCTGGCGTCGTGCAGGCCTCGGAAGAAATTAGCGAACACTCTTGCCGCATCCATCTGTCAATGCCCCCCCCAACGATCAATGTTGGCGGTGGGTTGAATGAGCTGCACTTCGGCCGCAGTCTTCCCCGCGCGTGCCAATTTTGAGCTTTGGGTGGCGGGGGAGTATTCACTAATGGTTTCCTTTTATTGCATTTTTTCACCACGGTCGGTTTCGCCCAGTTTCGGGCCCCGGAACCCTCACTGATCGATCCAGCTTGGAAAATGCAGCAGCAAGACGGGGTCCAGGGACGGCAGTGCTTGTTGTCACGACGTTGCACTGTGATTTCGGATCTCAGAGAGGGAGGGAGATTCGAGGTCCAGCCTCTCGAGGCTCGAGGTGGTGGACTAAGAGGACGAGGCTCAAGGTCAGAGGTCTCGTCGGACAAGGCTTCTCGGACGAGGCTGAGCTTTTCGAACCGCGGGGGGCGGGGGAGGTGGAGAGCGAGGACGAGGAGGGCGATTTTCGGGGATCGAGGCTTTCGGTTGAGTTTTTCATCAATGTTGGCGGTGGGTCGAATGAGCTGCACTTCGGCCGCAGTCTTCCCCGCGCGTGCCAACTTCGAGCTTTGGGAGGCGAGCGAGTGTCCACTAACTGTTTCCACTTACTGTATTTGTTCACCACGGGCGGTTTCGCCCAGTTTCGGGCCCCGGAACCCTCACTGATCGATCCGGCTTGGAAAGTGCAGCAGCAAGACGAGGTCCAGGGACGGCAGTGTTTGTTGTCACGACATTGCATTGTGACTTCGGATCTCAGAGAGGGAGGGAGATTCGACGAAGAGGGCGAGGCTCAAGGCCAGAGGTCTCGTCGGGCAAGGCTTTTCGGACGAGGTTTGAGGTTTTCGAAGCGTGGGTGTCTGGCCTTCTCCTCCGACTTCCTCCCCTCACCCGCGCGCAACGCGTGTACTACGCGTACATGAGACACGCGTCTACATGCAGCCGCACGCACGCACGCACTCGCAGACACGCAGACACGCAGACACGCACACACGCACACACGCACACACGCACACACGCACACACGCACACACGCACACGCACACGCACACGCACACGCACACGCACACGCACACACACACACACACACACACACACACGCACGCACGCACACACACACACACATTCACACACACACACACACATTCACATTCACATTCACATTCACATTCACATTCACATTCACATTCACACACACACACCCTTTGTGGAGCTGCTGTTCCCGCGGTGGGGGGCACACGGTGGTTGCCGTGTGCGGGGCGCCTGGGGGGCCGTCCGTCGCTCGTGGGGTCTTCCGCTCTCCCTTGTCCCTGTCCTTCTTCTCCTTCCTTCCTCCTCTCCTTCCTCCTCCTTCTTTTCCTCTCCCTTCTCTGCCCTCGCGGCGGGGGTCCGCTTCGGCGGGGCCTGGCCTGTTGCTCCCGCCCCACGTACCACATTCGGGCTTTGCACACCCCGCCTCTCGGCCCCTCCCCCTTCGGGCGGCGTGCGGTCCCCCCCTGGTGGCCTCTGCCCCCCAACTCCCCCGTCGGCCCGCCAGGGGAGGGGCATAGCCCCAAGAGGGCAGGCGCGGCCGTGTAGGCACGACCTGTCCCGCGGCGTGGCCTCTGTTTGGCCCAACAACCGCTGCAGGGCTGGCGCGGCCGTGTAGGCCAGACCCTGGCGCTTGTGGCGTGCGTTTGTTAGCGCGGAACGTGTAGCTCCGAGGCCTCGAGCCACTGCTTGTGCCTCTGTTTTTCAGTCCGTTGTCGGTTGGCATGTGACTTCAGGTGGCGTGGCCCTGGCGCACACACACACACACACACACACCCTTGGCTCAAGCCTGCCTTGTGCAGGAGGTGCGCGGCGTGGTCTCTCCCTGTAGAGTCCCGTCGCCTCGGCGGGCACAGAGAGCGGTTCTGTCCCTTTCCCCTCCTTGTCGCGGTCCCTGCGATGGCGGCGGTGCCCGACGACGGCAAGGCAATGGATCTACGGTCCAACGGTGGCGCGGGGCTGGTCATGGCGATGGCCGTCAAAGGCGCTGCTCAGGGAGCTGCGGCGGGCGGCGCCTCGCGGCAGGCGATCGCCGCCGCGGTCGCTGCCGCGCTCCGCACGACATGGGCGCTGCTGGAGGGGATCGGCTCCGAGGAGGACGCCGAGCTCGCGATGCGCTGGCAGGCCATGGAGCCCGCCATGCGCCAGCAGCTGCGGGGCGCCCAGCCAGGCGGCGCCGGTCGCTCCAGGCGCAACGTCGGGGCGCACGTCGACCTCGGCAAGGGCGTCGACGCCTTGCGGCAGGCCCTGGCGCAGCCGCAGCGGGCCCAGCGCGGCGGGCGCTGCGGGCCCCGCGTGCCGGCGCCGCCGGGCCCGGAGGCGGCGGAAGAGATGACGGAGGACCACGCCAACGGCGTCAAGCTGGAGGGCACCACCAGCCTGGACATCGGGGAGCCCGACGTGGACGAGTGCGAGGGCACCGACCAGGTCATCGACACCCCCGAGGGCCAGCTGCTGGGCGAGGTCCCGCTTTCCCCACAGCTCAGCGCGGCGGTTGGCGAGGACTCGGAGCTGGACGTGGACGAGTGCGAGGGCACCGACCAGGTCGTGAACAGTGCCGAGGTGCAGCCTCTTCCTGAGGCGCCGCGGGACGTCGAGCCTGGGGGCCACGGCGGGGGCGGCCCCGAGGAGCAGCTGATGGGGGCGGAGGTGCCGAGGGCGGCAGCAGGCGTGGTTGAGGACGAGGGCCTCTACGACGGCCAGGCCGACGGCACCCAGGTCAAGAGGCAGCTGGACCGCCAAGGAGTACAGCATCGGCACGCTCCTGATGCTGGAGTTCACGATCGTGGGGCTCTTCATGTTCCTCGCCCTGCGGGGGCGGATCTGCGCTCAGACCTGCCCGTCGACGGCGTCGATGGCATCGGCGCGGAGCACGGCGGCACCTTGGAGGGCAAGGTGGGCGAGTGCATCCTCAGCGACGCCGTTCAGGCTCGCGTGCGGAGCGTCTTCCTTTTCGTCCTCAGGTTGGCCTTGCTGCTGGGCGTTGCCTCCTGCCCGTTCGCCTTCTTCGACTGGGGCACGGGCGTCGCGTGCGCCCCGCACGTACTCGACATAGAGCCTATGCCCGACCCGTACCACGCGGCCCGCCAGGCCTTCCCGAGACAAGGTGAAGGCGAGCTCCTGGACCTGCCACTGTGGACATTTGACAAGGAGCAGTGGCTTGAGTCCCTGGTGAAGCTGCGGAGCGAGCTGGAGCACGAGCTGGCCATGGCTTTGCCTGGCGGGATAGCTCGTGCCATCGAGGACGCCGAGGACGCCGAGGACATAGCGCTGTCCTTGCGGGGGCTCGCGGAGGACATTCGCGAGATCGAGGCGATGAGGCCTCGCGGATTCGATTCTGGATAGCCCAGCGGTGGGCATCCTCACTCAAAGCAGCAAGGGTGCCAGCTGCGCGGATGGCCTCATGAGTGCTGGGCTGGCCGTTGCGCCTCTGCCTCGTCGTCGGGGCGCGGGTTCCGCCTCTGAGAGTGGCCCCGGCGGTGGCGACAATGCCCCCCTTGGCGCGGTGTCCGCCGTGGCTGGAGGGCCTGAGGGGGCCCTCGGGGTGCCTGGGCCCGTCTTCGCCGTTGGCGGGGCCTGGGCGCGGCGCGCGGTCTCGCTTTTCAGCCCCCATTGGCACCGGGCTGAGGGGCCTAGGGTGGGGCGCGGCCTCGAGGGGGCCCTGGCGCTCTGCGCCCTGGCGAGTTCGGCGGGGGCGCTGCCCGCGGCTCGGCTCCTGCGCAGGCTCGGCAGGCGATGGGCCTTCGCCCGAGAGCCCAGCGCACGGGCATGGCGAGGCGTAGACGCCCCAGGCTGCCGATGCACCAAAGCACCAAAACACACATACACACGAGAAAAAGAGAGAGAGAGAGAG